CGCTCTCCCGCCGTTTTCACCCAGGGACTGAAGGAAAAGCAACTGCATCCACCCAGCAAGTGCCTCTTCGGCACATTGGGGGCTCATTCTTGGGATCTTCCTGCCCATGTCACTTCAAATACTCTTTTTGCACTTAGTGAGGATGTCTGTCAGAAGGGCTAGGAACAGACTTTTACCTCTCCTCCTTGGTCCAGATCCATGGTCTCCAAGTCAGTATCCATCCGGGACTGACGAACACGCTCCCGGCGAGAGCGTTCCTCCTGTGCAAAGAGATCAGAATTCAGCCCCAGGGAAGAGTTGCCCAACCTCCTCCATACACAGCCAGACTCTCCTGTCACACATGGCTCCGCACCCTGTGAGTCCACACGACCAGAGAGCCACACGCCACAATTTCTTTCAAGCACAGGCATCCACGTAACCAGAGCCAATAATTTTTGGCAGTAGAAACCAGTGACCCCAAGGCCAGGACATAAACCTGCCTTCCAAGAGAGCAGATGAAAGGAAGCAGGGAGTGAAGACACACAAACCTGCGGTGCCCCAGCAAAAGCCTGGCCTGCTGCATGCCAGCACCGCTCCTCAAACACAGAGGACGCAAACTGGCCCCTCACATCAACATAACCAGGTTTTTTTCTAGCAACAGAGCAGGAATATGGTATTAATCCCCCCGAAACCAACCACCAAATCGGTCACAGAACTGCTACTCTCCAAAGGCCAAGCAGAGCTAATCCTGCATGCCAATAAAGCTGTTGAGTGTCACATTCCAAGCCCAGGTAATGAGGAGCTGATCAGAGGCGACCAGGGTGTTTTATTGCACTGAGCCTCACACCAAGGAGGCCCAGAGGTGAAACGGTGCTGTTACAAGATAGTTGACACCAGTGTAAAAATGTGAAACTTGCATACATTGACATTTTCCTGGGAAAGCAGACATCTAAGTGACTCAAAAATAAGAAGTGGTAAATAAAATCGCCCTCTCAGCTGAGTCTCAGCCATCACCTAAGCAACGTTTCCCATGGTTTCAAGATCCCAGCTGAGTCAGCGGGCTCCTCTCTCACGAACAGCAAACAAAACACACAGCCCAACGACGACCGCAGACAGCAGCAAGGATCTCACAATCCCTCCTCTAGTCCTGCCTGAGGTTTCCTCTAGCCTTACCCGAATGAGATCCTCCTTCTCTGTCTCATGCAGCTGATACAGGAACTTCGACAGCTCGGGATCCGCTTCCATCTTCCCCATTATCCTTTCTTTTTCAGCTTCACTTTGTGCACTGGCCAGCAAAGTGCAGTACAGGACTGAAGAAAGACAATTAAGGGAACGCAGGTGAGGTTAAGAGTTGAACCAAAAAAAGGGAGCAACTAACAAGGGCCCAAGCTTCACACAGCAACACCGATGGCAGTTAAAAAGCCTCAGGTTGTATTAGAATCACATCAGAACAGCAGGGAAACAAGGTGGGATGGTTAAAGCGAACGCCACTCACTCATCATACGGTGCTGCCGCAGGACTTTAATGAAGTCGAAAGTGTTAAAGCCCAAGAGCAGAACAAGTTGGTTCTCACATTCCCGGTCATCACTTGCAGTCTGGGAGGAGAAGAAACGAGGAATGTCCGGTTACCTCTGCGCCCCACAAAACAAGAATTCCTGCTTCGCGTAGAACTGAACTCAAGTGGAGCTAAACAGCAGCTACAGGCAAGATCATGTGCCCACTGACCTTCAAGATCTCCAGCACTTCGTCCGCCTTCTTCTGAGAAACAATGGCATCATCGTAGAAACGGCTCAGCTGCCGCTGAAGCCAAAAGGCGTCGATGTCTCGAGGATGCAGATCCTTCTTCTTTGAACTCATCAGCTCACCCGAAGCCACAAGCTTTAAGAAAAACCCACAAAAACATTATCTTCCTGCCAGAGGAAAGCAAGCACGCGACCTTTGTGCTGTGGAGCAAGAGTTTGGGGCCTCTCTCTACCCAGGGAGAGGAGCAGAGAACGAGCAGATGCAACTGTGCAGCTGCCAGACCTGTTAATTTTATTAATGATTGTTTTGGCCTCCATCAGACAACAGCTTCAAGGCTCCTCTCCACCCGCAAATGACCTTAACTCCATCCATAGACCAACAGGATCCCTGACCGTCTTCTACACAACCCCAAAACTATGTTTTACATGTTCCTCGGTGACTCACGTTGGCCGAGAGGGTGCAACGAACAACGGCTTCATCTCCCTCCATGTCATCATCAGACGCCTCATCACGCACTTCACCGTAAATGTCCTCATCACCTTCCTGTTGAAAGAAGAGTTCCAGTAAGCGGCTTTTGCGAACATCAAAGAGAAGCTTCTCCTCGACAGAAATTAATGATCTGGCAACTCGTTCCTGAGAGGAAACAGCCTGCCTTGTGCTTTTAACAGCAACCTAATGCTGCTGTTCAGGTAGAGCACCACATGATAAGATTATTTCTACTCTCTACAGAGAGGTTTTGCCAGTGCCTCCTCCAACAATCTCGTATTTGTCTCTCTTATCGTTCTCTCAGCCTTTTTCAAAAAACAATCCCAGAGAATGTTTCTATGAAACACTTCCAACCAGCGCATTTGAATGTCTCTCTTCCTCTCGATCTGTCAAGTTTCCCCACGGGATCTAAATATCACCATCTGTTTTCCATCGTACTGACTCATGATAAGCCTTGGATTAGCAGGATAATCAACAAATCCTCCCTGAGCCAAGAAGCTGTATCTAAAATAATCCGGCTTCTCCTCCCCGGCAGAGACATCCCAGCCCAAGCCAATGCCCACTTCCTAATGTGACAGAGTAAAACGGGACAAACGCGGTCCTTGCGGAACGGCTCGGAGCGAAGGGACAGGGCAGAGACTCCGCTGCCACCCTGCAGCCTCTCGTCTCGTACCTCCTCATCGGACTCGAACTGCACGTTCACCCCGTACGTCTCATCAATATTGTCATCTGCAAGGGAGAGTGGAGTTAATTCATCGGAAAATCTGGGCACCACGTGCAAAGTTCACAGATCCGCACGCCCGCCCACACCTCTGCACATCCAAAAGATGAAAAGAACGTGGTCTGGGGGCTTGAAAACCGTCCAAACACTTTTTTTTTTTGGCTTCTCTGTGCGCAAACACCACCCCGGAGTAAGGCTGGGTTTGGCACCAGTAACCCGTCTTCCTGCCAGCCCTGTTCCTGAAGTCGCAGCCCGCGACAACGCCTTCCCATACCCATGTTCTGGATTTCCTTGTCTCCACCGTAATCCGTGATCTTCTTTCCTAGGTTCACCAGCACGTGGTAGCGGGTATCATCGGTCTGTCCCAGCAGCAGATCGATCTCCTTCCGCCTCTCTTTATCACGCAGCTTCTCGTTCTTCAGTACCGCCAGGACCTCATCAGCGGCTCCGCAGAGGATGTCACGCGGCTGCGAAAGGAATAACATGTCACATGGAGAAGAAATTTGCTACATGAAGGGCACAGGGTCAGTCCCTCCCATTTCTGGACCCTCATATAGGCACCAAAAGGCGACCCCCGCAACTAACACTCCATCACAATGTCCCAAAGCCCAAAAGCCAGCACCGACAGAGCGAACCCATCCATGGGATTACAGGGAAGGATTAAAACATCCAAGGAACGGATCTTACAGGCTTTGAACCCTTTGCCGGAGCAGGGACACCTGACCTGAGGTGTCCCCATCCTCACCTGGTCCCCGAGAGCCGCCTGAATGAAGCTCAGCAACACCTCGTAGGTCTCGCGGGTCTCCTTGGTTTTGGGTTTGTAGATGATGCCCACCATCTCGTCGATGCCCTCAGAGAGCAAGGTGTAACCCTTCATCTTGTTGATGTCATGCCTGTCCTCGTCACGCTTCCTTCTCCTGGAAAGAGGGGCAGGAAGGAGAGCACCTGGGTCAGCCCCGCAGCAAAGCCCTTCTCCTGCTACTTCACATATGGCTAGTCTCTTTTATTTGAAAAATAAAGGCAAAAAACCGCATTTTTTAATCTTTCACTTCAATTTTAGTTTCCTGACATGGAACAAGTGGCTCCAAACGAAGAAAACAAGGTCTCTCCAACTTCCAAGTTGGTGGTTTTTAGTTTGCAGCCCTGTGCTCACGCCACCAAAACATTTTTCACTACAAAATACCCCCAACACCTTTGAATTCAACCCCATTTACAGCCCTAAAACAAACCAAGGCTGTGTTATTCAGAGGCGGGCACAAAAACTTAATTGCCCAGGGTGTTCTTCACGCAAACGCAGTTCTGAGTCGGGGCTCCGCACCCCCTCGCCTCTGAGCTGGCACTCACTTTGCCCGTCTCTCCTCCTGCATCTGGGGTTTGGTCCTCTGGGCCTTGTCCCCCATGCGGGTGCCGTCCAGTTTGCCCACCAAGGACAGGACTTCTCCCGTCGGCTCATCCCGACGGGTCCGGTCGATCAGCGAGCGATCGGCTTGGAGGACAAGGTTAGAGTTCTGGGAGAAGAAAGAACAGGGGCAAAAAGAAGAATCAGGCATAATTCCTTTAAATATAACACGCCGCACGTTGCTTGAGGTGCTAATTTACATTTTAATTAACCAGGGGGGTTATTTAACACCCTCACCACACGCGATTTTAGACTTTAAGCCAGGACTGAGCCACTCGGGCCCATCCTGGGGCTTGTTTCAGCCGGGAGAACCTTGCCCAAGTGCTTGGTTACCTCTCGGTGCCCGGAAAGTCCCGCTTTAAGGAGGAAAAAACCCGGAAAAAAACTTAAAAGAAAATTTTAGTTCTCAGAATCCTCTTCTGCCCCCGGGAAAGAGCCGGTACGCTAACCCCCCCTCACGCAGGCCGCTTTCGCGGGGATACCCGGGGCCGCCAAAGCCCGGGGCTGGGTTTAAAGACACCCGCTGAGTTAACGGGACCGGAAAGGGCCCGGTACGGCGCCGATGAGGCGCGGGAGGCCCAGGGGCCGGCGAGGCCGCACTCACCGCCTTGTACTCGTACTGCAGGCTCCGGGCGGTCACGTCCGCCATGGCTAGGCCGGGCTGGAGGGCGCTCCGCCGCCGCCGGCCC